CAGAGGTTTCAGTCCATAGTCTCTTGGCTACATTGCTTTTGAGCCTATGACAGGGCAGAATATCAGAGCATGGAACACATGGCAGAGGATGTGGACAGCAAAGAGAAAAGGAGAAAGGAGTTGGGTTCTGATATCATGTCTCCAATGACCTAGCTTCTTTTACTAGGTCTCCCTCCTAAAGGTTCCTCCAGCTCTCAGTTGTATCACCTTGAGGACCAGCTCTTTAACACATGGTCTTTGGAGGACATTTAATATAAAAACCATAGTAAATATGCTTCAGAAAAATGTCTTTAGCTCTCAGAATCTGCATCATTTGCTTCACCTGGGTCACTACAAATAGGCAGTGAAGGCTACTAAGTTAAAATGAAAGGTGGAAAGAACATCAAAAAACAAAGGCCAGTGCACCTCATCTGAGTCAGTCTCTTTGAGGGTTAATCTTAGCTTTGCAAAAAATTTTTTCTTTTTTGGTGATTTTTAAATCACAATGTGTGTGTATGTGATTTAAAATAAAAAAGGTAATCAAACCTTTCTGCCAATCTGGATGATTGTGAAATTTAATTGCCAGCAATTATCATTAAAACAAAGGTACAGCAATTTCTTTTACCCCTATATGAATATTCTAGAAGAAAATTTCTGAACAATCCAAAGGCTCAAAAAGAAGACTTCTCAGTGTGAATGTCTTTCAGCCACGACACCTTGCTTCATGGTACTGGATCCATGGAATTTCTAATCACACATATAGGTCTTCTCATAATTACTATAGTTTAGTTTTGCCTCCCACATAGGGGAATATGAAAAACTTGTGTATGTCACTGGTCATGACCCCAAAATGATGAATAAGGAGATATCTTATTTATCGTTTCTAAGTTCAACGCCACTGTGATAGCAGAAAATAGTATTATCTACCTGGCCCAAAATGCAACAAAATCGAGATAAATAAATATCTCAATACATTCAGGAATGGTCTTTTCCCAATTAAGGTTTTGATGACTCTGCATGCAATAGTGACTTCTCCTTTTTCTATTTGACTTTTAATTTAAAAATCTATGTAGACTTCACTTTTATAATACCCTAGGCTTAATGTTTTCAAAATCATAACTTCTTATCCTGGGGAGGGCCTCTTTAATATTTAATTTATGCCTTGTTCAGTTAGTAGAAAATATCTCATTTACTTATCACTTTGCTTGGGTTGATTTTCTTCTTGCCTTTGTGAAATTATCCATTTGGCAATCCTGTAATATGTAAAAAGTTCTTACTTAAATTATAAAAATAAATATAACCCATGACTATTAAGAAAACACTTTTGCAAGTCAGCCATTGTTTGTTTCAGAACATAATCAAGTACCATAGTCTAGATTAAAAGCTTATGGATAAGGATTTTTTTTGTGATTTAAAATAATAAAAGTAATCAAATCTTCCTGCTGATCTAGGTGATTGTGAAATTTCATTACCAGCCATTATCATTTAAACAAAGGCACAGCAATTTCTTTTACACATAATGGAATATTCTAGAAGAAATTTCTGAATAGTTCTCAGAGTGTATTTTTATTAATTTTAACCTGATTATTTCATTTGTTATGTCTCAATTGGTAACATGGAATAAAGATACACTTGGGTGTGTAGGTAGACAACAGCAAGTGAGAGACTATGCTCAGAAATATCAGATGACTTTGAGCTTAATACTGAGTAAATAACAGAGCTTAACTCTTGATGCAAACCAACCAAACTTAAATCTCCCACAGCCATCCCTCTAAGAGAGGTCTGACCCTTGTTGAGTTCGCCTCTCCATATGTTAGATGCTATAGAATCAGTTGTTTCTTTTCTGGTGCTCCATTCCTCAGAGATGTCCTAGGGCTTCCAACACTGTCCCACCAAACCCACCGCTACCTGAGCAGACAAAAAACTCCTGCGTCAGCAAAACAATAAGTGGTTCAATGCTCTGTGAATATTGCTGCTTAGGGACCTCTAAGCATAACTTGCCAGAGAAGAGCACCCACCAGGAAAGAGGATCAACAGGCCTAAGGAAGTCCTTAGCAATAAAGCCATCAACTGTCCCCATCCCCATTCCTTTGCCTATGTTCTTTTACTTCTTGAAATGCTTTTCTCTCCCATCTGCATTGTGGGAAAATTCTACTCATTCTTTAAGGCCCAACTCATATGTTACTCCACTGGCCACTCCAAATTGAAGCAATCACTTCCTTCCCTGCATTCTCCTGTGCAGAAGTCATTTTATTAAACTGGAATACAGGTTGATCTTTGCTCGCCTATTGTTGCTGCTCATGGTAGAGGGAAGAATGTTGATTCATTTTTCCAATCCAAACACTCAAAATCCAGGAAGACACTCACAGATTACTTCTTTAATGGATTTCAAAACTCAGAGCCAAATTTAGCATGTACTGGTGGAAGCAGATTTTATGTGTGTTAAACTTCTTCCTGCACCTAAAGTCCAAGCCGCTGAGTGACTTCTTTTCTTATTCCTCAAAGAAGTTTTTGTTTATTTTGTGTTTGCACCAAGCACTTATTAAGTGCTAAGTACTCGACAACAATTATTTCACTTATTCCCCTCAACACTTCTATGAAGTAGCCATATAACTAGTATTAGCTTTATTTACAGAGGAAACGAGCCTTGGAGAAGTTAAACAATTCATCCCAAAGTATTCAGTGGGTCAGCGGTAGAATGAGAATTCAAAGACAATGATTGCAAAACTTCAGAGCTAGAAGAAATCCAAGAATTATCTTCCCTCTTGAAGCTGAGACTTATAACTTACTGCCTGGTACATAGTAGGCCCTTTAAAATGGTGATTAATAGGTTGATAAAGTGAACTAATTTCTCAGAATATGACCTTTGCTGAGAAAACCCAGCTGTCATGACAAGCAGGCTCTATTCTTTCCCACCCAACACCTCTCACAGGTGTGAATTGCTTGTGTTGTGTGAATTATTCATGATTCACACAATGGTAAGTGTGCTTATGAAGAACTATAATTCTGTAGTTTTCAAGACAAAGTGTCTGAAGAATAGGTGAATCAGACAATATAAGCTCACTGGCTAAGTTAATTCACACCAAATAATATATCCACGCCTGCTTTTTAAATTTTGACCTTCATATAATTTCCCAGTTTCTGTTAGCATTTAAGATAGTGGTGCATAAAGCAGGAAAGAGAAGCATCTTAAGCATCCCTATCCTATCTGCAAAGCAATTCCTGTCATCTAAAGCTGATACCCTGTGCTTCAAGCCACCATATTCTTCCCACAGCTGAGTGAGGATTTTCAAACAGGTTTCTTAAACTGTACCAAGATCTGAAAATTCAGATGCCACAGGATCTACAATTTATGCCCCCAGTAAATCACGTGATAGCACTTTCTCCTTGTCCTTCCTCCGTTTTTCTTTCCCTTTGCCATTGCTCCTGGACCAGTTCACTTTTTGTTGGGCAGCTTTCTGAGAGGGATAACCATATGGTAAGAGGAAGCCAACATCACTGCATTTTAAATTTAATGTTAGTCAACCAAAATGAATAGAAAAGCAGCAGCAGTGGTTTGAGGGTACTAAAAATATGCTGTAGCATTTGCTGAGTTCTCAGAATTAAAACCACAGGCGGTCAACTTGTTGCTGCTTTAAATAAGATATGAGTGTTCTGCCCCATTGGTTGCTTCTACCAGAAACGTGACTAAATTACACACCTAACAACATTGTTTTTTATCATTTGGCAGTGATTGAGACAGGAAGTGTCATTTCCCTGGAACTAAGCTGGCCAACATAGATAGCAGATGGCTTTCAAGTGATCACCTTGTGACACATCACAACTGCACCTTAGTCAAATTCACCTTGCATTTATGATTTAATTAGTTACACATCTATAGATGTGGATCCCTCTATACCTGGGTTGCTGTCCAATGCTTCCAGAAAGGTATTTCTTCCTTGAAGTTTAATTTTGAGATAGTAATAAAAAGAACACAATAGGACATAATATAATATTAACATATTGAGTATTTCCATTAGGACTTCAAGACCTTCTTGACCCTCGAACACAGTATACCACAGTAAATGTCTTATGTGCTATCCCTTTAGGATTTGTTATGAAAGTTTTCAACGACCAGAGAGGTAGAGGAATTCTGCCTAATGCATCATTCTGATTAGAAACCTGTCATACTCAGAAACCAGAGGGCTTGCTTCTATTGATTCCTACTCCTTCGGATTCATTAGCAATTTTTTCTCTTCAATTAGACCTGCTGGTCAACCAAGGAAAAGCTTAAAGAAGACCTCCCTTTCCTCAGCCACACTTAAAGGGAGAAAAAAATAACAAACACCTGTATGTCTTAAAAGCAAAATTACAGAGAGTATTATAAGAAAATGTCCAAGGAGTCACATAGGAAAATCTCTCTCACACACACACACGTACATGCACACTCACACTTGTAAACGTGCTAAGAGTCAGAGGCTGGGCTCAACCTCCCTTTCCCTAACCCACTTCAATCCGGACTAGAAAGGCACAATCTCTTTATTACTGCTATCTCAAACCCATGCCCCGAGCGAGTGTCTCCATAGAGCTAATTTCTGAAACAAACAAAGAAAACCAAGTCTTCGAGGAACGAGGGTTTCCTCTCCGCTGCTTTGGATTTGGGCATCTAGGGTGACCGGCGCGGCACCGCTAACAGGTACGGGCGCCCGGCATCGCCCTAACCTTCCCCGCCCCGCCAACCTCCGCTCCAGCCGCGCCAGAAAGTGCGAGCTGCCCCGTTCGTGCCCTGCTCGCCCGCTGCGCCCCGAGCCCCAGCACCCCGCGTCCGCACACCACACCACGGGCGCCCCCGCTCTGCCGCCTCTGCCCAGACAGAGGTCGGGCGCGGAGGTGCTGCGGGCACCCAGGCGCTGGCAAACCAAACAAGTGTCACACCGGACGCCTGCCGCGTCCCACAGCGCGGGCGGGACGGGCACAGGTAGGCGGTCTCCATCCCTGAGCGCGGGCAGGGGCGCGACCGCGCCGGGCGGGCTGAAACTCACCGGAGGACACGGAGGAGCCGGACAGGCTGGAGTTGCTGGACGCGGCCATCTCCGAGTGCCCCACGCGTCGCTGTTCGCTCAGCCCCGGTGCGTGCGCCGCCGCCGCTGCCCTCGCCCGGCCGCCCGCAGCCTCCGCGGCCCCCAGCCCATGGCAAAGTCCGGGGGACGCGCAGAAAGCGGCAGCCTCCGGACTCTGCCTGCACTTCCTGCTCCGCCAGATGACGCGCTGCTGCCGCCGCTATTTATTTGTGGTTTCCGTCCCTCTCGCGCCTTTGCACGCTTTTCTCCCGGTGTTGGGGAGTCGGTGGGAGCGGAGGGAGACCGCGGGGTGGCCTCCGCGGGCGGGCAGGCGGCTGGTGGCTCCAACTGAGCCCCTCTGCCGTCCGCGCTGCCCGGTGCGCGGCGGGGACCCGGGCGCCCCAGCGGCCCCGTGCGGCGCGACCAGCTCCCCGCACCCTCCCGGGAGCTCCCGCCTCCGCGCCCGCACTTCAAGCAGCCCGGGCAAAGGCGGCGGGAGACAGACAGACAGAGCGACCTCCCCCTTCTCCCTCCGCCCCAACTCCGCTCGCGCGCACACAAAGGAAAGAGGAGACGCGGGTGCTCCGGGGCTGTTCAGCCACGGGCTTGACAGCTCCTGCCACCGGGGCTGAGGGCAGGCTACGGATTCGGGAACGGGGACCCGAGGTGCTGGGGAGGCCTCTTGGGGCGCGGGCCGAGCCGGGTGCCCCGCACAGCGCTGATCCTAGGGTTTGAGGGGGACTGGGAGGAGGTCTAGGGAAGGTGGTGGGGCTCGCCTCGCTCCGCTGGGCTTTGGGACAGCGAGACGAGGGGAATGGGCGCTCAGAGGGCCAAGGCGGGATCACTAAGGACCCAGTGCTGGGCAGAAGGGCACCTGTGTGCCAGGGAAGCTGTGGCGTGCCACTTCCATTCCCTCCAAATTGTCCTTTGTTGCTTTGGAGCTGATGGCCTCTTCCCTGCCAGAAGGTACATTTCCTAAAAGCCCAGGAAGCCAGTTCAGCTACCCTCAGTACCCTAAGCACAGATATGCCACCGATATTGCTCAGTGGGTCCACTGGGCTTCTGAGGCTAGCCTTCAAAGAAAGAGAGACACTCCAAACATTCATCAGGCCTGCACAAAGCAGAGTGTCAGAAAGAAAGAGATTCTGTGACTGCCTTGCAAAGGATCCTCACAAAAGACTTGAGACGTGGCAGCAGGTCCCACTGTGCCCTTTTGGGGAAAGGAACTGCTCAGGTGTGGGAGAGAAAGCCAAGGTGTGCACCTTTCTCCTGTATTTAAACCTAAATTAATTTCACCTGGAGGAACTATCATGCAGATTTTTTAAGTCTATTTCACGCTCCCAGCAGGGTAATCGGTTCTTTCAATCCTGAAGCAACAGAAAACTGTGAAATTTGAACAGAAATGGTTAGATCAAAGGAAAGAGCGAACATTAAAGGAATGAAAGTACCCTCATTATATAGCAAAATGGAAAGTGTTCACATTGGGGGTAGTTCAATTTTTAAAAACATGGTTAAAAGGACATAGTCCATTTAAAAATTATCAGGAGTGACATAGGAACAGCGGTAGCTGGGTCCTGGGGGGATCCATATCCAACTACCTAATGCACAGTGAATAACAAATGTTAAGCAATCACAATATGCACTCATGTCACATTTTCTAGTTGATTTAAACTGTTTTTTAAAAATTTCCTTCAGGACACCATCCCAGTATGACTTCCCAATAAGGTTCATTTTTAAATACTGTATATGTCTGGCTGAAGAGTCAAAGGCTTCTGAGTACTGTACAGTCACATTGGAATGGGTCTTCTTGGTCCTCACCTGCACTGAATTTTGAAGCACCCCTGCTCAGCACTAGGAGACTGGAGCATCACCAGTACCTCTCCACACACACACACACACACACACACACACACATTCAAGTTTTCTCCTTTTTGTGGAATGTGGCATCATCTGCAGACCTTCAAGGATACGTGTCCCTCATGAGCTTGACGTCTCTGTCAGAAAGGAACTTCGTCTCCCCAGAGTTTGCTTGATCAAAGACAGTATTTACTTATTTGACTAGTAATGTGTACAGCATATCCCTCATCTAAGATCATTAGATGGTGGACTTAGCTATGTCACCTAATAAGATTCTTACTATCTGGGTTTTGAAAATGACGTCTGGGTTCAAACTTTGGTTCTGCCACTTCCTAGCTATGAGACCGTGAGCAACTTCTTAGGCTCAGTTAGTTTCTCCATCTGCAATAAAAGTACTGACAGAGTGTGGCGAATATTAAACAAGATATGTGTAGTATCTGGCGTAAAGTGTGTGTCATGAAAATGATTGTAAATTGTTCACTTGAAGGATGGAACTTATGGTTTAAAAAGTTTTTGCCTCCTCCACTGGAGATAACTAACAAGCAGTGACTTATTCTGCAGGTAAAATGTCTCATTGTTGGCCCACAGTGTAAACATTTTTTGTTGTCGTTATTCCAAATGGAGCAATAAGCAATGGGTTTCATTGTTCAACTCTAATGTCTCACAGAAGAATGTCAGATTCTATATCTGCAGTTTGGATGATAATATTTGCCTTCATAGAGCTTTAGTTAGAGAAAGTAAAACATGGCCTTGAGAAATAGATTATTTTTGTTATTCCAAATTGATAGATGAAGGGATACTTGCTGTGATGGCACCACCCACCTCCAGGCCATGCTGTGCTGCACAAAATCAGAAAAAGATGGAGACTTATAGGTGAGGCCCAGCCTGTTGGCAGGAGTTGGACAGTAACCATGAAGCCCATTATTCTGAAGAACAAATGTAAAGCTCCAGGTGCAGAACGGAAATGTAAAAGCTGATGGATCATTTGGATCGTTAAAGCATAACCAATGGAGAGAACTCAGCAGGCATGGCTGTTCGCTATCATCTTTCTTCAGTTCAGAGGCCTAGATGCTTGCTGCTCCTTACATCAGTAAATCAGTAGGCAGCGGCTGAAACGAAATGCTAACCCTCTTCTCCACCAGTAGGCTCAAGACCGTCTTTACGGAACTTCCGAAATAGTTCTCCATATTAAACAATGAGAAAAATCAGTTCGTGTGTTTTATCATTCTTGTATGGCATTATGTGATTCCTGCTTGCCAGTGAAAAGGGAATATTGGTGCTACAAAGGTCTTAATCTGTTTGAAATCTAATCTGATCTGTTAGAATTTATTTTGGATATCTCTGTTTCTTTCTGCAATATTAAAAGACCTACGGATAAAAGGACTGTTGTGGATAATTTGGTCTGTGTAGGACTAAACATTACCATTTCACTTTAGTTTAGCTTTCTCCTGGCATTCAACCCCTTCCAGTGTTCCCTTTCCTAGGTTTTTCCTGTCCTCTGCTTCACAAAAGTGACCTTTCCTCCCTGTGCCAGGGCCCCTTGGTGCTGACAGCACTGGCCTCTGAAAGGCCTTCCCTGCTACCCATCCTTCCTGTGCTGAATTTCCACCCAGCAGGTACCTTGTCTGGGGAGTCCACTCTGATTCCCCAGCCAGAAGCCAGCTGTCCTGGCAAATTCCTTCAGACCTTCTATACCTCTCCACTAACAGATCTCCGCCCTGCCTTCCTTTAATGGTAATTCTGGTACATAGTTTCTCTCCTTGATTGTTAAAAGCTTCCTTGGTGCAGGATCCTTGTCCACCCCACCCTTGGATTCCTTGCCATCCTCTGCACACAGTGAGGGCTCAGTGGATATTTGTCAAATTTTGTTGAACAAATGAGCAAACTAAGAAGCCAGTGAATCCCTCAGTGGTTCTCAGGGGCACCTCAGTACCTATGACCCTTGAGCAACAAGACAAGGCAATGAGTAGCACATCTGCAGCCCAGAAAGAAGTTGATGAGATCAGGGCAGGGTCTTTGCCGTGAACAAGGAAAACTGCAATGATGACAACGAAAGCACAAAATTTTAATAGAGAAAATGCTGGCACACACTCCCCACCCCCACTTGGGGAGTGGCTGTTACAACTCACGTAGTAATTTATTGTGTCCAGGGTAGCTCTTGGTTACTGTATTTGTTTATTTTGCTTTAGTGTTTCTTTAAAGTTTAAAAGCAGACAGGCACACACTGTGGGACAGGAACATACCGTGGGGTGAATGTGGCTGGAGCTGAGCTCCCTCCTTTCAGACACTCTGGAGTGTTTCTCAGTGAAGGTCATTCCCTTTCCCTGTGCTAAGCACAGAATGAAATATTCCTTACTTTCAAGATTAATCCAGTGGCCTGCATTCACAAGAGAATAGTGGGGCTATTCGTCAAGTAGCTTTAAATATTTTATGGCAAATACTCTACAGTAGCCTTAAAAGTGGTCCTTTTGCCATCAATTTCTCAACAGCAATATACTCTGTCGCTCTGAGAACTATTTGTAGTTGAAGCCTTGTTTCGAATAGGAAGATACCTGCTCTCCTGTGAGAAGAAAAGCATTGACCCTTGGGAGGTACTGTCAGACGAAGTAAGGGCTGAAATTGAGGCCCCCTCAGTCTCCCGGAAAGGTGCCCAGGCGGCCTGGTATCCCGAGCGAGGAGCCCACTCCCCCGCCGCAGGTAGCAGCCCTGCCTGCGAACAAAGAGGCGCCCACACCTGGGGTGCAGACAAAGAGAGGCCGCCTCTGCTCCCAATTCCCAGTGCACGGCGCCGGCTGCGGGGGACCCCTAGTGGCCACACGCGCTGCGGGTACAGGTATTCCTGCAATGGGTCTCTGATCTGCGGAGGGGTCCAGGGTGACGGCTTTGCGTTTCCTGTTTGGCCGCTTAGCTCAGGCAGGTCAGGCACACACACGCGCTCATTTGTCAGCTATATCTCGCTAATGAGAGACACAGGGAAATGTGGGCTTTTCTTTCTTAAGGAAAAAAATACGCATAGAGCCAGAATGTCACTGAGTATGATTTCTTCTGCATATTGCACCTTCTGGCTTTGTTTTCTGACATTTAAGATTACAGATCTTTTTTCTGCCCTCAGTGTCCTAAGAGAGATCTAGGGTAAACTAAAGTGAAGAGAGCTGTAAGCCTGCTCTGGGCGAAAGCATAGAGTGAGTTTGTTTTTCACGTCTTCTGGGGTGGATTTCTGTCTTTAGGCTTTTTTACTATCAAAATTTGCTTTCATAAAGTTATCCTATAAATGTATTCTCTGCTAACTGTTTGTTTATTGATGCATTGGTTAACTCACTCACCAAAGCTTATTAAGCACTCACTGTAAGTCAGGAAATCTCCTGGGCCCTGGGAAGAAAGAGACGAAGACATCTACATCTTTGCTCTGACAGCCTACAACAGGTGACCTCTGTTTCTTCCTGGGACCCTCATACTGCAAAGGTGACAATTACAGAAACAGTTATCACTATTACTCATGATGATAACTTTCTTTTCAGCCTTTTTTTTTTTTAACAAATCGCGCAGTGTCAAGTGTCAAAGGCTATTTCTAGATGCCTCGTATTTTCTCATTCACGGTTTCAGTCTGACAGCCCAGAGAGCCACGCATACCATGCACATATGTGCCACAATGGCGCGAGGTTAGCGACAGGCCATATATGCAACTGTGGGCTCACAGATTACAATGAAGCTGAAAATTCCCATACCTAATGACTTGCAGCTGTCATAAGTGGATAGCACGGTATGTGACTCATGTTTGTGATGATGTTGGTGGAAATAAACTTAACCTGTCAGAAACACAATGCATGCAATTATGTTCAGTACATGCTATTTGATAACTCTCACAAATGACTGTAATGGGTAGATATATTTACTGTACTATACTTTTATCATAATTTTAGAGTGTACTCCTATTTACAAAAATATAAAATATGATCAAAATATATGGTGAATGTTTAAATTTTTAAAATTCATTACAGGTAAAATACACACTGCCATCACTGCCCTTCAAAATACTCCCCTGTACTTTGAGTACACTTATCCCACAGTTCTTGCCACTGTCTGAAACACTTCTGGAAATCTTCTCTCATTAATGTCTTTAGGTACACTGTGCTGGCTGCCTCGATGTCCTGAATCCACTCAAAATGTTGGCCTTTCATGGTCATTTTGACTGTGGGGAAGAGCCAGAAGTCCCATGGTGCCAGATCCAGTAAATAGGGTGGATGAGGACACATCCTACTGTTTGCTGAGCCTGCCTCTCCAATGGATGGCACTCAACAGCAGCATTCGCCATATTTTTTTTATCACATCGTATAAAGACCCTTAGGGAAGGGACTTCTACAATTGCCTCAGAAAGTGGTAAGAACTGTGGGGTAGGTTTGAAGCTAGGGTAAGTATTCTGAGGAGGATTAATGGTAATGTTTCTTTTATCGCAGTAAATTCTTTTACTTTAAACATTCACCATCTATTTTGATCACATCTCATAAAGTTTATTGTAAAACAGCATGACATGTTATGTGAGCCTCAGATGTCTCATGTTTACCCTGTCCCTTGATTGCATCAAGAGGCCAATTCAAAGTATTTGCATGTACTATCCAGGTTTGTGTAAGCATATGCTATGATGTTCCCACAACAACAAAATCACCTACCAACACATTCCTCACAAGTACATAATGGTATTGTGAATGTTTCTATCCAGCTCACAGGAGCTTGAAGTTCCATAATCAGAACTTTCCCTCCTTCAGCTTCAACTGTGCTGTGATTGCACGCTATGATTTTGTCGCCATTGGAGGACCTCCAGCACTGAGCGCACTATTTTCATGTGAATGAATTTAATATTTCCCTCAAGGCTAAATGTAATTCCAAGAAGAGGCCCAGCATATAGGACAGAACTGTACAACTTTTAATATACCCACAGATTAGCTGGAGGTCTTGCTCAGACCCAGATTCTCGTTCAGCCAGTCTGGGGTGGGCCCACACCCTGCCTTTCTAAGAAGCTAGATACATCACCTCATGTTGAGTAATAAGCAGCCAAGGATGATTGTTTGTAACTCTGAGTATATTTAGAATCATCCTGAAGGCTTTTAGAAATTCCAATACCCAGATCACACCCTAGAATAGTTAAATTGGAATACACACCCTCTCTATATATATACTTCTATATATATGCTATATATATGCTATATATGCTTTTCATGTGATTGCAATATACTGCTACGGTTTGAAACTTGTGATGAGGAAAAGAGGATTTATGCTGCTGGAGAGATTGTTTGCAAATGGTGAGGGCTCATGTTGCTTCATAATTTTGCCAGGATTTTCTCTGGTCATAAAGAAAAGAGAAGGAATCAAATTCTTGTCAAGGGCTTTTTATTAGACTATGTAATCATAGACTTCATGATGTAAGAAAATAGGATATAATACCGGGACACAAATTTCTCAATGATGGGGAGAATTCTTCTTCAGATTTAATCCACACTATGGTTTTTAAAATACAGATTTGGATGAATAAGCATAAACAATACGCACCTAGTTGAAGGCCACTCCCACAAGGGCAAGCAGCTGTCAGCAAGGCAGATGCTTCCCAGCAAATCCACTCTATCATTTCTCGATCAGAAAGAAGATTAGAAATGGGATTTTCAGCTCAGACAGGGTTGAAGGGTGATGTTTGCGCCAGAGAAATGCTTCATGCCATAGCTAGAAAAATTGCTTTGGGGAAAATACTTTTGACTTCCTATTTGTTCTGAATGTATGAAAATGAAGCCCACCACTTGCATAGAAAAAGTGGCATCACAGATGCATGCGCCCACCATCCACATCCAAGCGGGGCAACAGCAGAGGGACAAAAGGTATTTTAGCTGACTCTTCATATCCAAAGAGTTTATTCTCATCCACATAAACGCCCATTCCTCAGGGAGGAAATTGAAAGGATGACAAATTAGATAAAACAAAATGTTTCAAACTTTTAAACTTTCCACCATCTCCCAGCAGCTCCAAGCTAGGGACCAAGCCTTAGTAATATAGAGAATTTTAAAGGACACATAAGACTCAAACTGCAGAGATGGTTAGTTTTATGGTCAGCCTGACCGTACCATGGCCCTGGTCATGGACCGTACCATGGCCCATGACCATGGACCGTACCATGGCCCATGACCATGGGCCATACCATGGCCAGATATTCTGAATGATTCAATGAGAATGATGAGATTAGCACTAAAATCAACAGACTGAGTAAAGTAGATGGACCTCCCCAATGTTGGTGGGCCTCATACAATCAGTTGAAGGCCTGAATAGCAGAATAATGCTAAGTGCCCTTAGAAAGTAAAAGAAAATGCTTCCTAATAGCCTTTAGACTGAGTCATCAGCTTTTTGTTTTCCACTGAAACATTGGATTTATTTCCACTGAAACATTGACTCTTCCTGGGTTTCAAGCCTGCTGGCCTTCAGACTGGAACTAAATCATCAGCTCTCCTGGGGCTCAAGAGGACAACTTACCCTGCAAATCTGGCACTCACCTGCCTCCATTATCAGGTGAGCCAGTAGCATGTAATAAATCTCTTCTATCTGCATCTATCTCTATTGTCAGTGTTCCCATTGCAGCGACATGATATCTAACATGTACAACAGAAAGTGCAAGAGCTTCATTTGCCTCAGGATTACAGAGAATTCAGTACTTGGCCAGCTGGCTCCAACACAGAAACATCAGGGTAGAAGGGCCGTATCTCCTGTACAAGTACATACATCCTATATACATGTCCTGTATATAGTATTTATATATATATCTCCTATATGTAGGTTTCTTATCTACATCTATCTCATCTATGAATGTGCATATTTATCTCATATTCATACTGTGTGTATGTATTCTCTCCCACGCCCCTGCCCCAGTTCAGTCTCTCTGGAGAACCCTATTCGATATATTGATAAATTAAGGTAATGTTCTTTACATTTTGTATTCTTCCACATTTTTTAACTTTCCTACAATGAGCCTGGATAGTTAAGGAATAAAACATTTTGTGTTATTTAAGTTTGTTAGGAGCAACATAAAAGATCATGTCTTCTTATATCACTGTGCATATACTTCAGAGCAAATCTATTTCTTAAGCTTGAAAACCCATAGGCATGATCTGGAGTGCTATTAGCATTGATTCCTGGGTCCACTGCAGAGGTGCTACTCAGGAGATCTGGAGATGGGGGAGAAGGTTTCCATTCCTAACCAGTGGGCTTGTGATGCTGAAGCTGCTAGTCCTGGGCCCTGCTTGAAGTGAAAAAGTCTATGATCCCTATAATAGGGATCACAGCCTTTTTTTTATGAAGTGCCACCTAATCTCTTCCTGTGTTTATGCCACCAAGTCAGCACTTTAATAAATCCTACTGTGTTTTGCAATTGTCTTTCTACCTGGTTCTCTCGTGTGACTGAAAGACTTGGGAGTGCAATGGTGGGCATTTCACAGCTTTTGTATCTCCCTTCCCTGTTCCAAGAACCTTTCCTATAATAGAATTTCAAAAATGTTTATAGAATGCAACTGTTTATCTTCATTGCAGTTTCCCAAGCCATTTAAAGGCAGCAGGCTGTCCTGATTTTCCACATGAGAGGGCAGAAACAGGATTAACACAATAGGATGCTGTCTGATATTCTCTTCTGTCCTGTCCTATGAATTTAATTTTCTATAAGCCTAGCTCCAATTCTCCTTGGGACAGTTATATTCAAGAACCTTAATGCTTTGTACTCTCTCGTGGTATTAAAGCCTTTTTCTACTGAACACCAACAGTCTTGAGGGACACTGAGTTTACTCAATTTGTGTTTCTAAACATGCGAATGAGTGTTATTGTGGCAAAAATTTTTGAATGTTGAACTGATCTTTTTCAGTTTTAATCCAAATGTGTGATATTGGATAAAAGTACCCTAGGGTTAGATGTGGGTGATATTGACTAAACTTGACAAATAGTTGAATAGGATGATCTGCCAAGACTTATGATGAAATTGGAACAATATTACAACTTCATACATTTTCATCTGAGTCTTCACACCCCATTCTGTTATTCTCTATGTGTCATGTCAGTATGACTAGCTTTCATTTCTTACTGCTGTTGGTGATCTTTTTATTATTGTTAGACAGAATACTATCAGAGTAATACAACTCTTTTAAGGCATTCAGAAAAGAAATCTTCCACCACTGCTAACCTTCCTCTGCCCTCCTATTTTTCAAACTCTATCATTACCTTCTCTTTTGTAGAGCATCCTGTCACTGTCTCATAATAGAGGTTCAGCTCATTTGCATATACATTTGCATGTCTTCATTAAGAAGAAGACGGCTAAGTGATTAATGAGTGTTATTTCTCATTTTGCAAAGAGAATATTGTCTACTTTTTATATTCCATATTCAAAGCACTAAAAGAAATAGATACAAGTAAGAAAAAGTCATTTCCAGCATTCATGTTATTTTAAATATTTTTCTTAAAAACGTAATTCATGCTTCTTGTAGACATGTCAGAGATAAGAAAGAGATAGATGAAAGAGTAAAATTACTCATCTTTCCCCTACTATAAGTAAGTACTTTAACATGTTTGTTATCATTCTCCCAACCCTGTGGGGACTGGCTTATCAATCTGCTTTTTGCAGTTTACATTTGTAAGAATATGATCATGTGGAAAAATAGCTATTAGGACCTATATCAAAGGTGTCTATCTTGAAATGTTAAAATTATTAGTATCTACTGTATTTAATTTTTTTATATTGTGCAATTTTTAAACGAGTACATCTTACTTTTTGTAATTAGAGACCGTAATAAAGCTACTTCTTTGCTGGAATGAGTTTGAATGAATATTTCCCCACGTCATTACATGTCCTTGACCTAATTTTTAACAGCTATATATGATTCCATCGTATGAATCTGCAGTAATTTATTCCATTATTCTTCTATTGGTTTAAATTTAAGATGTTCAATGTTTTTGACTTTGCAAATTACACTAGGCTATAAATTCTTGAGTATAAGTCTCTAGGTGCCTTCGTACTTATTTTCTGGGGCTTCATTGCTGTAAATTGAACAGGTCAAAGGCAGGGCTCAGCTGCTCAACTCCAGAGGGTCCCACACAGTGTGTTCCACATGAAAGATTCTCCCAGGAGGCCAAGTCTATGCTCCAATGTGAGTAGTGCTTGCTGGAGTAGAACAGGGACTGCAGTCTTTGTCAAAAGCTATGAAAATGTTTAAAGCTCTTGATAAAAATAGCCACACTGCCTCCTGCAAAATTGATTCAATTTATATTCATTCCAGGACTCACCACATATGAATGAAAAGCAAGAATTCAAATGTATTTTTAAATTAAGATGTACTAGGAAAACAATGGTATCCTATTGCTGTATTAAATTAGGCTAATTTGATTACTAGTGAGATTAAACGTTCTGTTTATGTCTAGTAGTCTTTTGTGTGGCCTCTTTTGCAAATTGCCTATTTATATCTTTTGCCAAAATAACAATAAGCACTGAGTCTCTGTAATTTCACCAAGAGTTGCTCGTGTATGATCTTACTCTTTTCAATTACACTGTAAACAGTCATTTCTATTGTCTCTATGTTACAAATAAGAACTCTTATATGTGTGGAAGCCAAGGCTTCTACTCATATGATACATAACAAATGACAGGATTTGAACCCAGCCATCTAACCCTAGAATCTCCAGAATCTAGTGCCCTTTAATTGGTTTGTCAGTGTTCTCCATATTAGTTTGTAATAACACTTTACATACATAATAATGATAATAACCTTTGATTGTTAAATTTTGTGGCAAAGTTGTCTCTATTGGTTTGTTATTTGCCTTAAGTTGATTTGTCTTTTATTTCTATCAATTTACATGCCTTATTTGTGTATTAATGTTCTCTATCATATTTTAAAAATATTTTAGTTACTCATAAAAATGGTAAGTTTTAAATGATTGATGTCACTTTCCCTTTCTAACACCAAAAACTTGGGGAGCAGACTGACTTTGGAATATTGAGACTGGAACACATGTAACCACAATGAATGTTTGAAAATGAAATAATCTACATCATTAATGAAGGAATATTTTAATTCTCTGTAGTGTTTCCACCATCTGCAGGAAAAGTTATAAATTGAAAATATAAGACAAATAACAGAAGATCAATCAAATGCTACTGGTGTAAGTTATTTTAATGGTTCCAGAATAAGATGATGACTAGATTAAGTTTGTGATACCTAAATTAAATTACTGGGGATAATAAATAAGTCATTGCATGCACTAAATCACTGAACATTTTACAAAGCATAAGAACAAAATGAAAATACTGAGCACTAGATATCCTTCCCAGAAACCCAGGTTTTTTGGGAGGGGTTGCTCGTGTTTATTTGTTTTTCTATTTGAGGGATATTTAGAGGTTGAACCCAGGGTCTTCCCACTGAGCTACATTCCCAACCCTTTATTTATTTTGCATTTTGAGACAAGGTGTCACTGAGTCAATGAGCTACTCAGACATTCAGTCCTCCCACCTCAGTCTCCCAAGAGTGCTAGGATTACAAGCACACCACACCATATCCAGATTTTAGTTCTTTTCCTATGTACTGGAAATCAAACTCAGGACATTGTGCTTGCCAGGCAGGCGCTTGTGCCGCTGAGCTATATCCCCAGCTCCCAGCTTTTAATTGTTAACTGTGCTTTGCACTTATATAATTGAATAGCAATTAAGGATTTTATAATTTGAGAAATAAAAGTGTGGCAATTGTTGATGGCCCCTCTACTTAGAAAAGGAGGATATTTATTTACATATATCAGAATAATTCTGTTTGACAAAGAATTATATTAAATTATTAATGTGTGCCTTGCTCTTGCTTTTGAAAAGGACTTCAGATGAGTATGAGAATTTTCTCTTCCCACTCCAAAGACTGTGGCCTTAGCCTGGATTTTTGAGCTCTGTAGCACCCAAGGGTGAGTAAACACTCTCATATTCAAACTCTGATACTCTCATACTGTAAAATGTCAGCCTTCAGTTTCCCTGCAGAGCATATGGGAGCCCTTTGTCCATCCAGTGGACTAAGGACACTGACACTTAGTACAGGTGACCTTCCTAGAGAGTGAAGAGACCAAAGTTCCTCATGAATTCCTGAGGTCAGGGCTTGGTTCTTCAGCCTGGCAACGCATGAGACTCGTGTAGTGTTCTGGGGTTCCTTCCAAAGTGCAGTGTGACTTAACACAAAGGAGCATCCTGCTTACACTTTTCAAAAAGAAAACATAAGTACTGCTTTCAAAGGGGACATGAAGGCTGTAGGCCTGTCAGTACAACATGAGAAGATCATCTCCTTTCTGACACCATGATAAACTCAGGGTCCTCTACAACCCTAAGAAGGCAGGACACTATTAAATCATGACAGAGGAGGTAGAAATTTTTGCTAGCTCTGGTAAGTAAGGTCCTGAGCAGATTATTGGATCATTAAGAAAAATAAAAGAAAGATAACCCCTTTTTCATAAATTGTGGAATTTATTTATGCCAATTAGTCATTCAACAAATGAAAACTGAGCTACCACTACTCTCTGAGCATAATTATAGACCCTGAATATATAACAGTAAACAAATTCTCTACCCCAAATAAGTTGAATGCATGTGTAGGATACACAGACAATTAACTATTTAAAAACTGGTGAAATGTTGAGAAACGAACGCTCAGATGAATAAGTGTTTAGCACCCCTTTCTGTGGCAATATATAACATTCAGTGGAGACCTGATATTGCAGACCTAGTGCAGTCGGACACAGGTTGGGTATGTGCTTACAGCTTGTCTCTAGATGTCTGTGGTGGACTGACAACTGGTGGTCAACTTATAACACCCAGCTGAACTGAGTAAGCATGGTGCTGGGTGTGCAAGGCCCACCTGAGGATTTTTGCCAGCAGCACAAGGAGCAGAACTGGAGAAGAGATGAGGCTGTTGGGAGCTGGTAGAAGCTGTTGGTAGAACCTGTTGGAAGCAGAGAGAAGCTGTAAGGAGCTGTTGGTTCTTTTGGAGAACTTTGTCATGCTGGCTTTCCTGATGAACTGGGCTGTTCCCATTGTCCAGGGAGCTCAGGACCTTGTTGGCACTGAGAATGGTATTGGTTCACTTTAGGAGAACTCTGGTCCTCACTCTGAGCATCACTTCCTGGCTCTGGAGGGGAAGAAGGTGCACAGCTCAGTCTCCTGGAGAAGCTTGTCTCATTGGCTTTCCTGATGGGAACTTGGCTTTCCTGATCATCAGAGGAGCTTAAGACCCCACTGTTGCTGAGGATGGCTGTGGTACCCTTCAAGGGAGCTGTGGTTCTTACTTTGTGTGTTGCTTCCTGGCTCCAGTGCAGATCCCTCAGCCTGCTAGCACAGATCCTTCATTCCACTGGCACAGACTTTCTAGATTCCACCACTGACCTTTGGGCCATCCCAGCACAGATATGTGAAACACACCTGCATGAGATTTTGTTATGGACTCTAGGTCCCCAGTTGGAGGCACCTCCATTGGAGGCATTTCGATGAGCTCTAGGTCTTCAGCTGGACTCAGGAAGGACATTATCATGGGATCCAGGCCTTCAGCTGAATTCTTGGTCTATAATGTGTGGACAGATTTTCTGTACTGTCTTGTATGTGATTTTTTGGGTGACTATTACAAACAATCTTATAAAATATGTGTCCTGTATTATATTGTTCACCTTGCAATAAGCCCCAAACCATGACAATGTTTCCCCAAAGTCTCATGTGGTCATAGGTGGGGGTTTTCAGAGGTGGCTGAATCTAGAGTGTGTGATGCTGGGATTAAGTATGTGATACCTGGATCAAGGATGTGTTATTACAAAATCAGCCCACTGATTGGTTTAGCACAGTTTTAGGTGTGGATAATAGGAATGCCCATGCTGAGTGTCTGTACTACCTGCCCTAAGCACATGTAGCCTGGATAGAATATAAAGAAGAGGGCTAATGTTGTCACTTGCTGCTTCTTTGCTACTTTCCTGCTTTGCTGCCTTCCACCCACCATAAACTGTTTTTCCTCTGTGATGTCCCTCTTCCATGCCTTGGAGGCAGCCAACTATGAACTGAGGCCTCTAACAAACTGTAAACTATAACAGATCTCTCCTCCTTTAATCTTGGTTATTGGGTATTTTGTCTTAGCAATGAGAAAATTAACCAAGATAGTATGTTTGAAGCAACATGAAGGCCAGGGGAGCTGCGGAAAAATGAGAGGATCAGCAAGCAGAGTAAGACAGGTCAGAGGGCTGAGTAATCATTTGGGTCATAGTGGAAATTTTCTATTTATTTCTACCCACAATGACAAGCCACAGAAGATTTTAGGAAGGACATAACATGCTCTGATCCACATGGAAAAAATCACTCTGGCTGCTTTGAAGCAAGGACAATAAGAGAAAAGAAGGACAGAAAGGCTGCTACTTCAGTGGTTTAGAACAAAGAGGTTGAGGGTGTGGACACAGAATGGTGGCAGTGAAGATGGTAAGACACCATCAGTTGAAACACTTGTTGAAGAAGGAATGTTAGGATTAAGTTACACAATCATCAGGATGACTCCCAGATTTTTGGCTGAGCACTAGAGTAACAGGTGGTATCATTTGCTGTGATGATAAGGGTTTAGGGAGGTGTGGACTTGGTTTTGGGGTAGAATTAAGAATGATGTTTTAGATGTGCATCCTGAGGCATCTCTTTTTTTTCTGAGGCATCTCTTAAATATCTAAGATGTTAAATGGTGCTTGGAAAGAGATCTGGGTTAGAAATAAAGAATTTGATTATAAAGATGAGTAAATGAAAGAAGGAATGGACAGACATATGATTCCCTCCTGATATAGACAGATGTTTAGAAGGAAAAATGATTGGGAAGGGACAGAAGAAAAGTTGGCTATCTGGCTGGCTGGCTGGATGAGTGGGTGGGTGGGTTGGTGGATGGATGGATGGATGGATGGATGGATGGATGGATGGATGGATGGATGGATACATGCTTTGAAAATCCATTATTTGAAATGCTTGGGACCACAGGAGTTTCAGATTTCAAAATTTTTTAAATTTTGGAATATTGCCATATACACAATGAGATATCTTAGGAAGGGGACCCAAGTCTAAATGCAAAACTTACTTATGTTTCATATACCCTTTTAAACACACAGTATAGTTATTCTAAACAATATTTTTGGTGTCCCTGGATTTGATGGAGACGTGTCATATATGGTCAGGTGTGTAATTTCTCATTCTTGTGGCTTCATGTCAGTGCTCAAAGTTTTGGATTTTGGACTTTCAATTTTCAGATTAACAGTGCTCAACCTGTGTAGATAAATGGGTGGATGGGTAAAAGCAGAGAATGACAGGAAATAAGGGAAGAAGAAATGCTAGCAAACACACTCAGCCACCAAATCTTAGATAAAGGGGGCCAAACAAACTCAATGGAAGAACGACAGCCTCTTTAATAAATGGTGATGGAAAAATTGGTTTGCCACCTGCCAAAGACTGAAAATAGACCCAAGTCTATCACCATGCACCAAACTCAAGTCAAAATGGATCACACATCTCACAGGAACACTAAATCTATTGGAAGAGAAAGTAGGTAAAATCCTTGAAGACATAGGAATAGGCAGAGAGTTCATGAACAAAAACCAAACTGCCCATGAAACACTTCAAAGAATCAACAACTGGGATCTCATCCTACTGAAAAATTTCTGCACATCCAAAGAAATCACCAGCAGAGTAAAAGGAAAACCCACAAACTGGGAAAAAATTTTAGCTGACTGTCCCTTGGACAAAGGACTTCTGTCTAGAACATATAAAGAATTAAAAAATATCAGCCCCCCCCCAATTCAAAGACCCAATCCAAAAACGGGCAGCTGAGATGAATACACACTTCTCAGATAAAGAAATACAAATGGTGAATAAATATATGAGAAAATGTTCAACATCATTGGTCATTTGAGAAATGCAAATTAAAACAACATTGAGATTCCATCTCACCCCAGTAAGAATGGCTAGCATTAAGAAATCAACCAATAACAAATGCTGGCGAGGCTATGGAGAAATAGGGACTCTTCTACACTGCTAGTGGGAATGCAGACTGATGAAACAACCATGGAAATCATTTTGGAGATTCCTCAGTAAACTAGGTCTAGAGGTCCCATTCAACCCAGCTATTCCCCTTCTGGGTATTTTCCCAGAAGATCTAAAAACATCATATCACAGTGATATATGTGCACCTGTGTTCATAGCAGAACAATTTGTAATTGCTAAATTGTGGAAGCAACCCAAAAGTCCATCCACTGAGGATTGGATAAAAAAATTGTGATACTTTTATATAATGGAATATTACTCAGCTATAAAGAAAGATAAACTCGAGGCTTTTATAGGTAAATAGTCACAACTAGAGACCATACTCATAAGTGAAATAAATCAGACCTGCATGTGCAAGCACCACATTGTCTCACTAGTGTAAAACCTGAAAGAGTGAATAAAAACTAGGAGGTATGATAGACAGTGTGAAACGAAAGGAAAATGCTCAAGGGTAAAAGGCAGCTGGGATATGGGAACAGAGAAGGAGAAGAAGGAGAAATTTTGTATGTATGTATATACAGGATAGTTAAAGTACTTGATCTACTGTCTTCTATTTCTTTGCTGAAAGAAACAGTTAATGATTCCTTGATTGATCAATATTGCATGTCTCTATTTGTTTTCCTGAGAAGCCACTTTGAAGATATCAATATGTAATACAACAAGCATTATTAATTTCCTACCACTTTGTTTGTAACTCTGTATTGTTGGTATTGTTCTTTTGCTATTTTGTAAATGTTTGTTTGTTAATGTTTTCCTTCTTTTAGTTTTAAAATAAAAAAAAGAAAAGCTAGCAAAAAAATTAAAAAGCATAACATCTCCTATGTGGATATGAGTAACTTTAAGCAACGCAAAAATTGGGAAGAAGCAAGTT